ACACATCACTGTCACCAAGGGACAGATCAACCAGACAGAAAATTAGCAAAGAAATAACAGAACTGAATCACACTTGTGAACACATGGACTTGATAGACATATACAGTGTGTTCCATTCAACAACATCAGAATATACATGGGACATTCTCTAAAATAGACCATATACTAGCCCACAGGACATATTTAAATCAAAGCAAAAGAATTGAAATTATCCCATGCATGTTAACAGATCATAGCAACATGAAACTAGAAATTAATAATAAAAGAAACTGTAAAAACCCCACAAACATATGGAAGTTGAATATACACTCTTCAGCAATCAGTGGGTCACAGGGGAAATTAAAGAAGAAATTAAACAGTACCTACAAGCAAATGAAAATACAAATACAACTTACTGGAATCCGTGGGATGCAATGAAAGCAGTCCTCAGAAGAAAATTTATTGCACTGAATTCCACATCACAAAAACAGAATGAATACAAATAAACAACCTGATGCTACACCTGCCTGGTGGTTTCTTTCTGTTGCGGTTCTAGAAATCATGGTCGTTTTAATCTCTATCTAATATGTCTTTCAATACTCTTTCTAGGGTCTGTTTGATGGACCTGAATTTCTTCAGTTGTTCTTTGTCATGGAAGTATCTTGTTTCTCCATTAAACTTGAATGAAAGTTTATCTGGGTACATCAAACTGGGTTGAAAGTTGTTTTCTTTCAGTGCTTGAAATACTTCACTCCAGGCTTGTCTTAACTTGAATATTTGTGCTGAAATATCTGCCATGATTCTAATGGGCTTTCCTTGATAGGTGAATTGTGTCTTTTCTCTAACAGCTTTTAGCCTTCTGTTTTTATGCTGTATGTCTGAATCTTAATTATTCTATGTCTAGGTGTGGATTTGTGTTGGTTGTGACTGCTTGGCATTCCATATGCCTCACTTATCTGCAGAAAGATAACATGTCAACAATAAACCAATATATAACAGTTATAACCATTAATGTAAATATTCTCAATGCATCACTTAAAAGAAACAGACTGGCAGAATAGATCAAGAAACAACATCCAGCCATATGTTGTCTACAAGAAACCCATCTAAACCAAAAGGAAACTCACAGACTGAAAGTCAAAGGATGGAAAACAATACTTCATAACAACATTTATCTGCATAACAGATTTTTTCCCTATGTTTGGGAAATTTTCTTCTATTACTTCTGTGAATAGTTTACCTATGTCATTTTAATTGACTCTTGCATCCTCACTGATGCCTATCAGTCTTATATTGCTTCCCTTTGCATCATCTTGAAGGTGTTGGGCTCTCATTTCATGCTGCTTTGTTATTTTTAAAAGTTCTATCATTTCATGCTCACTAATTGTGAACCTATGCTCTAGGCCCAAAATGCTATCCTCAGCTTCATTTAAATTGTTTTTACAGCTTTCAATAGAATTTTTTGTGTCTTAGATGTCCCTTTGAGTTTGTTTCATGAATTCTTCTTGTTTTCTATGTTGTTCATTCAAGTTTTCAATCAGTTTCCCATACTCCTGTACTTTTTTTATCTATTCTCTAGCTCCACTGAGCAACTCCTTTACTAAGGTTGTTATTTCTGTCTTTATGTGAGAGATTACTTCTAATTTGATTTCCTCTATAGACTCATGGAGTTTTTTTTTTATTTCACTTGCTGTCTTTTCATAGATTTCTGGTGTGTTACTTTTGAAGTCCTCTATTTCAATGTCTCCTGTATTTGTTCCTGATGTAGTAGATATTTGAGATTGCATTTTGCTTTTTCATTTTGCTATATTAATCCTTTTGGGTTAATATGTGGTCCTTCAATATTACTAGTGTCAACTGTTTGTAATGTTATCTTAGGGTCCTATTGTAAGGCTGATGTTTGTCCAATTGCTGGGTCCCACAATGAAGAGGTGGGCCATTCACATGAATTTCCAGTGCAGGGCTTGTTGGGTAAGTCCTATATTCTTCATAGGCTGACAAGCCTAGGAGTATTGATGGAAATTGACCCTTAATTCCTGCTGTTATTATGTCTTCAAGTTGATCAGAGTCACCAGATCTCTCTGTTTACAGTGTTTGTCTCAGGTGGGACCCTACTGTGTGTCTCATAGGCCCTTTTAATTTTCTCCAGGTTGGTGGAGGTCCTATTGGCACCCTCCTCAACCTACCTGATGTTCTCTGTGTGGTGGAAGAACTCATCCACCTGTTTGCCAAGCTCACCTATGGCCTGCTTCTGAAAGGGGCTTTGCTATTGCACCTGTTTACCCACTTAAGGTGGCAAATTCTATTCCTATTTTAGGGGCAAACTCACCTCACTGACGGAAGCCTGCTGAGTTCTTCTGTTTGGATGAGGGGTTATTGAGTCTCCTCTCAAAGTAGCATGTTTAATCCATGCAGTCCAAGGTTCTGGGAGGAGGTATGGGAGCTGAAGATGAACAGTAATAGTGGGTCCACGAGGTGGGGCGGTCCTCAATGGCAGTGGTTGGACTGCAGGGGCATGTGCAGCTGGCTGGAGTTCCTGGGTCCTGTGAGGTGGTCTTCTGTAATACCAGAAGTCACAGGAGGATCCCAGGTCTGGCCCAGCCCTGTGTGCACTGTTCCCTGGGTCCCTAGGTGGTCTGCCTGGAGGGTGAGAGTTGTGGGAGGGGCCAGATCTGGCCCAGCCCCACATGCACAGCTGGCTGGAATTCCTGCCCTATTGTTTTATAACCAGAAGACAAGCATTCCTGCCCTTGGCATACAGCTACTTGCAGATACTGATCCCCCCAAAGCATGCATAAAACTTGTTTACATGTTTACAATAGATCAGAAAGGCAGAAAAAAGAATTTTTATACAAAACTGGGCTTTATGCAGGGTCACTCCGAAAATTTTTATATGTAGGGACCTGTAACATATTTAAAGAGCTCATGTGGAGTTGTTTTTTTTAAAAAAAAAGAAAGAAGAAAGAAAGAAAGAAAGAAAGAAGGAAAGAATATGGAGATGTCAGTAACAATTAGAGAGCATACAATTTTTGTTATGGAGATAAACTTGAGGCTGAATTAGACAAGATAGAGAGGGAACAAGCTGACACTGGAGCAATCTCCCAGAAGATTCTGGGATTCTGAGACTCCAGAAGAATACTGTTAAAAACCATAGGGCTGGAGCAGATGATTCTAGGACTAACAATGGTAATGGCAGATTACCATTGGACAGTCACAGAGGGACGAATTGGAGCTCTTGTCATTGGCATGGGAGAAAAGCGTAGCAGGGGCAGTGAACACTGTTCTGCTGGCATACATTTTTAGGGTGTGGTTAAACAGGAATGTTTGTCCCTTTAGCCCCCACCCCCACCCCAGTGCAGTTTGGAACTGCTGACTAGGGAAGAGGAGAAACAGCTGGACTCTGACTAGCCTCACCAAGTCATGGAGTCACCAATAACTTTCTGTCCCAATCCATCAGCAGGAAACACAGGAAGCATGCACTTTCCTTCCTCATATGATATTGCTGGCCAAAGTGGAGGAGAGACTAATGAGATCTGGGCCTTTATAAACCTAATAGCTCAACCACAATTTATTTTACTCTTCCCATTTGATTAGCATCAACACACAGGTGGGACACACAAAATGGTACCTTTCCTTACCCTAATAGAAGAGTAGTAACTGTACTCTGGGACCATGACAAAACTCAAGGACCAGTTCATCTCCTTTATCTTCTAGCACCATAGCACTCCTGCTAATTACTATTATAAAAATTAAAGAATTTGAGTTTACTGATGGATGAAAGCCTCAGAATGAGAAATGGGAAAGGACAAGAAGAATGGAGTTTTCTGGGGAGTGGGAAGAAAAAGATGAAAGAAAACCAGTGAGCTCTATTTTGGTTTATGTATCAGATCCCAAGCATAGTGTCAACTATCACCAAAATGACCACTTGAATCTGCATGGCATGGATACTTCCCAGCCACTCACAAGGGGGAGCAATGGCATCAAGTAGACTGAACTTATTCCCTTCTGTTTTGAGATGAGGTAAGGGAGGGAGGGAGAGAGAGAGAGAGAGAGAGAGAGAGAGAGAGAGAGAGAGAGAGGAAGAGAGAGGTGAGGGAGGTAGAGAGAGAGGGAGGGAGGAAGGGCACGAAGGAGGGAGGGACACAGAAAGAATTAAATCAGCAGCTTAGAGGATCTCTTTTTATCTAATGTTGATTTGTATCTTGTGCCTTAGTGTTTTAACATTTGACTAATTGGATCCATCCTGCCTAGAACTTTGAACTTTGAGGATGGGACACAAAAACACAGGCACAGTGAGGAAGTAGTCTACAGTGACAGTAGTGGTCAGTAGTCCCATGGTAATGGTGTTTAATGCCCTAAGAGGGTGTACAGAAGCCCTTGCCAGACTGCTCTGACTGTTACTTTGGTAACAACCCCTCCTGTAACCATGTGTTTTCCGTTCACATTCATAGACTGTTCTAAAAATTCCCATTGATTTTGTGAGCTAACTAATCTGGAGCTACCTTCTGGTACCTAGCAGCCTTTTCTACATAAAGTAACCAAAGTTTTTGCTTTGCTATCTACTCCCCTACTAGAATGTAGGCTCCATTAGGACAAGAGTTTTTGTTTTCTTTTGTTCAGTGATGTATCACAAGTACCTAAGGAGTATACAGGTACACGCTGGGAATTGACAAATATTGGCTGATGAAATGAAATATGAGTGGTTTTTATCAGCTGAGTAACTCATTGAGGTTTGGAAATTTAATAAATATAGCTATGAACAATTTTCAAAATAGAATTGGGAGTACATAGAATTTGGAATTATGTTAAGAACAATGAGGAAAGCAAGTTTATCAGAAAAGATGAGATTGAGGAGAGGTGTACTTTATTTCTCTGTAAGTGTCTAACACAATATCCAATAAATGTTACATTGAACAGCCTTGATTTCTGTCTTGACTATTAGTGGCAGAGAGGGTAAAGATGAAAATAAAACACAAAGGAATTTGTTTTGAACTTTATTTTAAGCAATAGCAGGACAAAGACAAAGGAACAATTAAAGACAGAATCTACAAGAGTTTCATGCAGACAGAAACAAAAACAGAGGTGATTAAGTTAAATATAAACACACAAATTTGTTTCCTAAATCATGATCAGCAAATTGTTCTTCTACGAGCTATATAGGACATGCAGTTGACCTTCCTTGAGCTATGGGCCCATCACAGTAGTAAGAGTGCTTTCTATTGCAATCATGAGATTTTGGGGAGTGAGGAACTGAGTGTGTCTGGGCAAGTACAGCTCAGCTTTCTAATGAATCTTTTCTTGACCAATAATAAGGAGTAGTCAACGGGCCACCACGCGGAGCTGATAAGATGGGGGGATGTTGCCAAAGCCTGAGACCTGAGGAGAGATATCAACGTCATCAGGTGGCACCAGGGAATGTAAGGAGAAGTTCTGAATGATGGAGGTGAAGTAGATAAAGAGTTCCATGCGAGCCAAACTCTCTCCCAGACAGAGACGCTTTCCTGGGGATACAGAAAAGGGTTGGAAAAATGGTTCACACCTAAAAGATGATGAAGACGTGTGGTCTTGCTGGCATGACCACCCTACACATCTCATGTCATGACCATATCTACTTTATAGGGTTATTATCATGACTTAGTGGATTCTTACAGTTAGTGCCTATCTAGGATCTCCACTTAGAGGGCCTCAATACATAGCAGCTATTTCTCTGATGGTTCAGATTCCATTGAATCCAAGGTAAAATGGTTCTAAAGGATCCATGGATTTCAAAGCCATGTTCATTTCAATCCTTGAAGGTTTGTTAAATACCTATTATCTTCCAGACAGTGATGAGAAAAAAATCCTGAGAGCTCATGTTTAAATGGTGCCTATTGTTTGCTAAGAATCTTTTCAAAGGCATTAAGAGAGTGAACTCCATTTCACAGATCAGAGCTGAAATTATTTAATCTGATTCCAGGTTCCATATGCCTTCCACTTAAAACAGTGATGGTGGACCTTTTAAAGACGAATATCAAAACTGCATCCCAGAACCCACTCATTTATCACAAAGTATCAACACTGCAACTAAACCCAAGTACTGAGGTTTTAGTTTAGGAAAACAATGCATACATTAACATCTTTTGTATTTAAAAATGCAAATAATACATGTGCCCTAAATAACACCTGCTCTAAAACCATGGGTCCTAAAGCCACTAGAACAAGTGTCCTGCTGCTTGCAGAGTTTTCCCAAACTGTAAATGGTTTGCATGTTTTAAAATGTTTGTAAAAGAATTCTTAAATGACATTTTTGATATTTGAAATTAAATAAAATTTAAATTTCAGTGTTGATAAATAAATGTTGGTAGCTCACTTATAAGACGATTCATTTAACTGTTGTCAGTGCCTGCTTTCACAGCACAATGGTGGAGATGAATAGTTCACACAAGCACCATATCACTACAAAATCTAAAATATTTTGTGTTTTCTTCTAACACAAAAAATTTGCTGATCCTTTGTTTTATGTAGTTACGGCTCTAAAAATTTCATTTTTCCCCTAAGTATTAGAGTCAATGCTTCTAATATCTCCTGATGCTGGGATTCTAGGATTTTGTGATTCTATGATATTGCCTTCAACTTCTTCATTCTGATTGGGACTTCAAGAGATGGCTATAGCTCTTACTTGGGTGGTGGGGTGATTAGAAACTAGAAACCTACCATAAGAAAAGGGTACAAAAGCTTCATTCTTCTTGAAGCGTCCTTGCTCATCCAGGAAATGTTGGGGATAGAAGGTATCTGGATAGCGGAAGTATTTGGGCTCTTGGAGGACTGAACCTAGTAAGGGGTACACATCTGTGCCCTGCGATGAAGATAGGAGTAGTTAGGAGAAATCAGACAAAAGGGGTAGGAAAACAGGAGAGGGAAAAGGTGAAGGGGTGGATACGAGTATGCAGACACACCTTGGGGAGGAAATATCCTCGGAAATGAGTGTCCCGGGTGACAATATGGGGGACACCCATGGGCACAATGTTTGTCATTCTCTGTGTCTCGTGGATGACAGCATCTGTGTAAGGCATTTTAGGTCGATCATTCGCACCTGGGATCCGGTGTGGTCCAATCACATGGTTAATTTCTTCATAGACCTTGGCTAGATCATAAAATATAGGAGAAAAGTTAAGAACCTTGAAATGGAGAGATAATTCCTATATCCATGAAAAATACCTCTGAAACTGAAGGCTATATGTGTTTTTACTGCTTCTTTAAAATGTAGTTAAGAACTGATATATCTAGTGGATTATGTAGTCCCGGTATTTGGAAGGCTGGGGAGGAAGGATTACTGGGAGTTCAAAGTCAGCCTGGGCTTCAAAGTGAGTTCAAATCAGCCTGAATTGCATAGCAAAACCCTGTCTCAAAATAAAAAAGAACTGATACACCTGAGGTGTTTAATAAATATTCAGTGGACAATGAGAGGCACACGCTCTGGAGGCTTGACTGTCAGGCAGGACATTTGACCTTTACTGCAAAACACTAAAGACCATGCAAGGCTTGTTTGAACTTCATTAGTAAAGAGAATGGCCAATTTTGAGATTTTCTTTATTCAAGAAATGAGTGTCTCACCAGAATTACCCAATAGGCCAGGTTAAAATTTACTAAAATGGTTCTATTTGCTTCTAATGATGCATTTAATCAAATGGCCATCAAAAATAACCATTTCCTAATTTTTAAAACTTGTGAATGTTATGTATGTATGATAACAAAGGACTTTAAAGCAGATACCATTAAATTAAGGATTTTATGGAGAGATTATCCTGTATTATCTAGATTGACCCTAATAAAGTTATATGTGTCTGTATAAAATAGAAACAGAAAGTAGAATTAGGAGATGTGACATGAAAGCAAATAGATATGCTTTAAGCCTAGAAAAGATGCTATACCACTGGTTTTAAAGATGCAAAAAAGAGTCATGTAGCTAGGGATGGTGGCTCATGCCTGTAATCCTGGCACTTAACAGACTGAGGCAAGAAGTTTGCTGAATTCAAAGCCAGCATGGGCTATACAGTAAGTCCACGGCCATTTTGAATTGCATGGCAAGATCTTCTCACAAAGAAAGAAAGAAAGAAAGAAAGAAAGAAAGAAAGACAGAAAGAAAGAAAGAGAGAAAGAAAGAGAGAAAGAGAGAAAGAAAGAGAGAGAAAGAAAGAAAGAAAGAAAGAGAAAAAGAAAGAGAGAAAGAAAGAAAGAGAGAAAGAAAGAAAGAAAGAAAGAAAGAAAGAAAGAAAGAAAGAAAGACAAAGAAGCCTTAAAACCTGGAAAAATCTAGGAATTAGACTCAACCTTGGTTTCAGCCTAATGAAAGCCTTCTGAGCATCTGGCCACTGTATTGTAAGATAATTGAATTTTATTATATGTGATAGTACAAACAAAAATTTTTATAGACAAGGAGATAATATAGAAACCATTGTTCATCTTCTGTTAGTTGGCTCTAAATACCCTGTAATACTTTCATTCTCTTGAATGGTTTTACACTGTCTTGATATGTTTGATGCTATAGTGTATGAAGTTATACTCAAATATTTCAAGTAAAGAGACATTATGGTAACTAGTGTTATGTCAGGTTATCTTGTGGTGAAACACTATTTTGCTTAAATTGTTCTGTTCTGACCTGTGCTGTTGTGTTGTTATGTCCTCTTTTATCTCAATCTCCTTTTTGTTTTATTTATTTATTTATTTATTTATTTATTTATATTTTTTAATGAAGGGAAAAATAAATTTAAAAAGCAGGATATATTATACTAACCATTTTGATTTCCTACTAACTTGATTTGAAGCCCTGTATTGCTCTCACCATCTTGTTTTGACTGATTTTACTCTACTCTGTTTTCTTTGATAGTAACAAGTTTGAGGGTATAGGCAACTACTTTGAAGACAATAAGATTCACTATGATGCCTATTCTGGTTTGGCTATTATCTTCTTTTGAAGTCCTGTAATGTCTCCAATGTTTCAGTTTTATTGGTTTTGTTCTCTACTGTTTTTTTTTTCAGTTTTATTATAACTGATGATATAGGTAATTCTTTTTAAGATAGCAAGAGGCATTATGGTAACCATTGTTGATCACCATGTATTCTGTTTACATCATGTACTATGTCCATCCTTTTGATTTGACTGACTCTGTTTTGTTTTGTCACATTTGGTTTTATTCTCTTCAAAAAAAGTAATAAGAACTGTGGGAGTAATAAAACTCAAAATATGTAATTGTTATTGTAAAAAAGAGAGGAAAAGAAAATGCTCTAAAGGATACAACTGCATATATATTTAAGTGTATAAGATAGATAACCACATTACTGAGTTTTTGTTGGATCATTGAATACAACTGTTTGCAGTCTCACTGTTTGAATGTCCACTTTGTATGCTTTAATTTTGTAACTTGAACAACTATTTGTAAGATGACAATATGTAATCTATTAACTAGTGATTTCTTACTGTTTATTTTTTGAAATTCTGTATTACTTGTACCCTTCATCTGTTTTTTCTTTTTCTCTTTAAATAAAATTAAAACAAAACCCAATGTTGTTTAAAATGCTAAGTATCAGGAGCCATAGGAAGCAAATACAGTCACCAAGTCAAAGACTAAACTAGTGTCCTCCCACATCAGACATTTCAGTACCGAAGAGTGAAGGGTCAGAGCTACAGGATTCTAGATTTTCAAGATGATGTCTTCCTTCCTGTTAGGAGCTAGAAGTAACTGATTAGTAGTCCAGGCTGAACACTGACCTTGCACCTCAGGATACTTTGTTAGCAGCAGGATTCCATAACGTAGTGTAGAGCTCACTGTTTCTGTGCCAGCAAAGAAGAGGTTGAGGGTGGTGAGGACCAAGTTCTTGAGGTTGAATTCTGTGTGGGGATTATTTTTTTCCTAAAAGTGAGGGAGACAGTAAGTAGAAGAATCCTCTTGTGTCTTTATTTTATGTTCATTGTCTCAAGAGTAGGGATTTGTGAAAATACAATAGATGAGTAAACCAAGTTTAGGAGAGCAAAGAACTGGAGCAAAATTCCCGAGGCAGGAGTGGGTCTGGTCTGTTAGAGGAACAGTGAGGCAGAGACCAGTGTGGTTGGCATGGGTGAACAAAGAGTAGAATGGGAAGAGAAGAAAATAGAATCACATGTAAGGCTTGCAAAGTGAAAAGTATAATTTTAAATGAACAAGTGCCAAATTTCTCCAATAAAAACATAATTTCCTAAATCTCCAAAATTCTAAGAATAAGTGGTATAGATTGATTAATCTCCTAAATTTCTACATTTTTAAGGCCTTAAACATTTAAAAACTAAATTAAGTTTCTTAAAAGGCTTGTCGTACCTTTCTGCAAATGTAAGTCTCTGGCATAAATAATTAGAAAGCTGTAACATTTTAAGTTTCCTTGTTGCTAAAATTTTTAGATTCAGTCTAGGAAATGTGAAATACACACACACACACACACATGAGTATTATTCAGTCACAGTGAAGAAGGAAATCCTGTCACTTGAAGCAAAATGGATGGAACTGAAGGATGCTATGTCACATGAAATAAGCCAGAAACAGAAGGACACACTGAAATTCACTTTTGTAAGAAGAAGCTTTAAAAAAAATCTGCCTGAAAGTAGAATAATGATTACTAAAGAATGGGAAAGTTGAGAAGAAAGGAGGATGTTGAATTTGTCCAGGGCATACTGAATGCATGTATAATAACACATTAATTATAACTCATTAATGTGTACAACTGATACATATTAGCAAAAGAAATGTTTGACTTCATCAAATTTAAAAAGTTTGTTTTATGTGTGTAAACGTCTATAGCATGTTTCTATATTTCATCTATTGATAAAAATAAATCACGTGAAATAATACTTGTTCTTTCTTTTTCAAACCTTTATAAGTGAATTGAAATCTGCACACACTAGGGATTGAAGAGTTGAGAGGACTGGATTGGTGATAAAGGATCAGGTACCTGGTGCATTTTGATGAGGAAATAGTCAATGAAGTCCCGAGGGTTTTGAGGATCAAAAGATGCTTCATTGATTTTGACCCTATGTGCAACAAAGTCCTTTAAATCCTCTATCAAGTTGTACAAATAATTGTGTCTTCCTGGGAAATACTGCATGATCCCTGAGTACATGTCATATGCCTGTGGATAAAGGCAAAGAAGGTTTGTTAGTGACTGACCCCAGGAACCAAATGAGATATTTGGAATCCGAGACCTGGGCTCCAACTCCAGTGATGGTTGTGAGAACTTAACATGGACCTTTGCCTATGGGAGTCTCTGGCACATTGCTACTTATCAACCAGGGTTTTGGGGGAGAATTAAGGGAGCTATAGGGAAGTACTTAATGGACAGCAAAGTGTGGGTAGAGAAGACATCAGTGGTCACCTGTGCCCAGGGGTTGCTCATCTCAATGAAACTCTGGTTGATCATCCACAGTAGATGCTGGAACTCCTTGTCTTCATAGTCAAACCGGTTTCCGAACACAATAGAACTGATGACATTGGAGACACTGCGGCTCAGGATGAAGGTAAGTTCAACTGGGGCACCTGTGTGATGGAAATTGTCTAAACTGAGGGTCAAAATTATAAGTACAAAGTGTTGAATCCCTCAGTAGTGAATTTGGCTCCTAGATCTGCTGTGTGGTAACATGTGCAAGTTATTTCACTTTTGTGTTTCAATCAAGATTTCCCAATCTACAAAATGGTTAAGAAAATCCAACTTATTAGTTTATGAAAATTCAATATAATTATCCATGTAGAATTCCTATCACAGTGCCTGTCATATAATAAACATTCAAGAAATACTAGTGGAACTTAATGATTATTTTTGTAATTGTTACTTGGCTGTGTTTGTGGTAGAGTCACAGATTTTGAAGAAAATATGATACTAAGAAACACAATTTTAAAAAAAGAAGCAACATACCTAGATTCTGCCTAGATCTACCAATAATTCCATTTAGGCTACTGTGAAAATCCTTCCCTAGGCTTCAGCTGTGCCATCTGTCAAGTGGGATGCTGTCAGGAAAGTGGATTTAGGAACAATTTCTCCAGGAAAATGAACATATTCACAAGTATATAATTTTATAAATAACTCTGAGCATATGTAACCATTCAGAGCCTATATATAGGTCTTATAAACCATCTATAAAGTACAGAAGAGGAACCTCTAGTTTAAATAAATGTATCTCTACTTCTATATTTTTGCTATTTGTTATTGTATTTCCTTGTCCCTGTGTCTTTTATCTCTAAATTCCATTAGTTCTAGACCTTATTTTGGGGGGAAACTGGTCTCCTTTAAATATACATATCCCTTAAAATATAATAAAAATAAGTAAAGAATTTCAGAGTTGCAAGATGAAAAACTTTTAAAGAGTTGCTCCACAATAAGGTAAATATACTTAACACTATTGAAATGCTTTTTTTAAATGATGAAGAAAGGATGTGGATATGACTCAGTGTCACAAGTGCCTGCCTGGCAAGAACAAGGTTCCAAGGTTTGATTCCTGGTACAAAAAAAGAAAGAAACAAAGAAAGAAAGTCATGAAGATGGTATATTCTGTTATTTTATATAGCACAATAAAATGTATAAACACAATGAAATTTGAACCTGTCTCCAGAAGAAAACGCAGACAACACACCATCAAAATTCACATAAAATTTCACGAGCTTACTTGATTAGAGTTTCTAATCAAGTGTAAACAGGATTAAAGATTCTTCCAAGGACTGGGGATAAGTTCAGTGGCACAAGCACCTACCTGGCAAGTGGAAGGTCCTGAGTTTGAGTCCTGGTTTAAAAACAAACAAACAAACAAACAAACAAACAAAAACCACCTTCCATGTTCATTTTCAGCATGGAAGCTTGCTGGAAATCTCAATGAATCCTTGCCGTTTTTCAGCCTTTCTTTTCACAGCTTTCTTCCACGCAGGCATATCATCTCACAACTCAGCTCTCTATAACCATGCAGCTACCTACTCTGACTCCCAAGGTGGTCCCCATACCCTTGGTCTTCCGAAGTTCCTCCACTAGGAAGCCAGCCTCCTCCTGGATACGTTCCTCCACGCTCCTCTTTCCCATCCCGAAGTCCCGAAGAATAGTCAAGGAAAAGCGTCGAAGAATCTTCCATCGCTCTCCATTGGCCATAGCTACACCTGCCAGAGTTTCAATGTCAGGCTCCAGCCTGCCCTTCCCATCCTGTGCTCAAATCTGTGCCATATAAAGATGGACTATGAAAATTCTTTAAAGAAATCACCTCTTGACCATCCAAAATGAGGACAATAAGACTCTCTACCTAGAGGATCCTCAAAAGCTATCCAGACTGAAATAACAGAATCAGGCTAAGAATGATCAAGGTAGGTTGAGGAGGTTTTTTAGAGGACAGAGAGATAGATAAATATCTCCATGAATGCATAAAAGGGGGTGGAGGTATGGGTAAAATGTCATATAAAGGTCCCCGGAGTAGGGATAGTAACTGTTTTCTGTATACTACTTGGATTTTCTAGACATGCAAATATATGTACACAGTAGCTCATGCTTGTATATTAATATACCTACACAAAAAGTCATATTTAAAATGAAATTACTAAATGTGTGGCTTGGTAAAGAACCTGGAAATTTAATCATTTCTGGTTTAAAATGAAATTACTAAATATGTGGCTTGGTAAAGAACCTGGAAATTTAATCATTTCTGGTTTTGCCATCATCCTTACTTACCATAACCTTGGAAGTTTCGTTCTATTGAAGCTATTTCTCCACGTCCACTGAAATCGTCTCCTTGGTCTACCAATGCCTCCTTCAATGTCTCAAATCCACATAAAACAACTACTGGCCGGGGACCCAGGTATACAGTGAACACTGAACCATATTTCTTGTGGAGCTGGGAGTGAAGAAAAACACCAAAGGAGGGGAAGCTGTAGAAATCAGTCAAGGACTAGAGAATGTAGAGATTTCAGGAGTACAAATGTGGGAAGAACATATAAAGGTAAATTCTCTACTTGGAAGGACCACAAGGGGAAAAGACATGAAAATCTTGACTTCTGTGATCCTAAACGAGAATCACCCCTATACCTGCAAGTCTTAGTTTCTTCAGCTATAAAATGATGGTTCTGAATCAGATGAAATCCAAAACCCACATTACTTTCTCGAAACTGCTAAATTTCCAAAACCCACATTACTTTCTCGAAACTGCTAAATTTTTAGGATCTGAAGGTTTCATGATATAGTGCGTCAGAGTTCTAAGAAAATCCATGTACAAGTCCTTGTGGTTAAAGATATGAGTCCAAAGTCCTGGGATTGTGACTGTTTTATTCCAAGCTCTAAGAGTTTATGTTTCTAAGATTTTAAGAACTGAAGTTTTGAAATTCTGAGATTATAAACTGTTCATAAGTCTGTGTTTTTGAGTTCACAACACACCTGGCTATCGGATTAGTGACTTCCAGCCCTAAGAGAAGAGGTAAACAGACTCACCTTCATTAAAGACTGAAAAGTTCCATGAATGCGGACTTGCAGCAGGTTCCCAAGGAAAGGGATTGGAGTGGGACCTGGAGGCAGCTTTCTCCCTTTGTTGGTTTTTTTCCAGGCAACGAGGATGATCAGGCAAGACAAGCAGAGTGCCCAAAAGATGGTGAAGACTCCCCTCAGCTCCATGGTTCCAAGTCAAGGGACTGTGTCCTAGGCTCTAGATCACACCTAAATAGTTCTGGAAGACCAGCTGACATAGAAATGTGAACCTGCAAAGATTTTAGTTTTCGAAGTATTGATGTCATTAAGAAAGAGAATACTTTATCTGGTGGTGGTTATGTAACCTATAATCTCCAGCTGAGTATTGAATTCACTCAGGGAAAATCTACACACGACATTCCTCTTTCTTAAGATTTCAAATTTCCTAGTTCTCCCTAGGTTAACCTCTAGTTCTACATTTTTTGTGAGGTGTGGGAGGCAGCTGAATATCTTTTTTGGTTATTGAATTCAGGATTCAGATAATCTAGGTTCAAATTTCAACTCCATTTTTCTACACTGGGCAAGTCATCTAATCTATAGACCTCCATTCTATAGACTTCCCTTTTTCCCCATCTTTCAAGTAGAGTAACCATGCTGCTTCAGAAAGTCTTGATCAACTACAGAGATAACTCCTTTGCTGATCCTCTAGTTAGAGATGTATCTACTTAGTTCCCTAATAAAGATGAAATTTTCAAATAGCAAGAGAATCAATAAATTGAAATGGTTTATACAACAATTTGTATTCTACTCGGTAATGTTAAACAACAATAGTCAAATATTACTTGCGTTGGTTTGTCAAAAGCTAGCTTGTGTACATGTAAGTGTATGATATGTGTGTGTGTTTGATGCCCAAGATGCAGAGACCACCACTGAGCCTCCATCTCTAGAGGAAATCATCACTTCTAAAGATATTTCTGGTGAGTGTTCTTCTTAATAATCTAAGTGAATGATTCTCAATACTTTTTAAACCTCATAGCTTCAAATCCTTTATTTTTCTGATACTAAATCCTGTGTATTACATCTTATATGTTTATTAATGCATATTAATAAACAAAAGCAAATATTCTTCCCACATTCTCAGGCTTGAAAATTGAACTCCTTATGTTATCCTCAGGTTTTGGTAATTGAGTTTGGCCAGCAGAGCAGAGGTGCCCTCTGTGTCCAGGAAAAGTGGTTGAAATTCTGGAGAGATTCAATTGCTTATGCTCCACTTTCTAGGCTTTAGATTAGCTGCCTGACTGTCTTTCGTAGGGTGGAGATTCGGCAGTAGGCTACCTCTGTTCACTCTCTGCTTTCGCTTGTCCCTCTTATTCTTATCCTCCCTACTTCACACTGACCACACACATACGCACGCATTTGAAGTAATCTGTCCTATGGTGCAATGTGTGAACCAGAGAACCAAAGCTGGAGAACCAGAGATTTTCTGTGACAGAGATAGAAAGTGAGACTGAGAGACCAAGGGAAAAGAGAGATAGAGAAACAGAATCAAATTTAACTAATAATAGATCTAGCAACAGAGAGAGAGAGAGAGAGAGAGAGAGAGAGAGAGAGAGAGAGAGAGAGACAAAGACAGAGAGACAGAGACAGAGACTGAGATGGGGTGGGGGAGGAATAGTTACAGTAAAATGAAGAGTCAGGCTGGGCGTAGTGGTGCATGCCTGTAATCTCAGCCCTTGGGAGACTGAGCAGAATGATTACTATGAGTTAGAGACCAGCCTGAATTGCATAGTGAGACACCCTGTATCAAAAAGACAAAAGAAAAAGATGAAGAGGAATTAGGAGAAGGAGGCAGTGGAGGTGGAGGAGAAGGAGGAAAAGGAGGATTCAGATTGAGGATGTGACAACTGAAAGAGAAACAAAGAGGAATATCTCTCTCTCTTTCTCTTTCTCTCTCTCTCTCTCTCTCTCTCTCTCTCTCTCTCTCTCTCTCTCTCTCTCAAGGCCAACAGCACAGATGGAAAAATGCAGACAGATTAAAAGCTAGAGATACTGATGTAACACAGAGGCAAATCTAGTGAAATTTGGTCTCCATAAAGTGTATGAAATGGAACCTGGCATTTTATGCCTACCTACATGTTCATCTTTCTGAGACTAACAAGTGCTGTGATACTACTAAGAAAGTCCTTATTTGTTAAGTATTCTCTTTGTGCCAGGCACTGATTTGGGTGCTCGACAAATTGACATCTTCTAATTCAGTCAACCATCTTATGAAGTATGTTACATAGTCAGAAATGATTCAAGTTACCTTAAAGCAAGGGTTCTTGTAACTGGGGACTGCCATAGGTATCTAAGAATTCTATGAGACTCCCTGAACAGGTGTACACAGTTGGGGAACATTCTATCTACCAGAAAAAAACATTCAGATGTTTTGAGAGCTTGGAAGCATAGCACTTATTGCTTGTTTTTGGTATGATATCTCAATCCACATAAGACTGTAGTTATATTTCAAAGGTACCTGGATGTCCCTTGATATCTGCTTTTTCCCTCTTACATAATAATAGAGTTCTATGCATCTGTGTAGCTGTCCAGAAGAAAGACTGTTTCTAGGTTGGCTCATAGCTGAATGGAGCTGTGGGCCCAAATTCTCACCAATAACATGAAAGCAGAAGTGGTATATGCAACTTCCACATTATGCTTCTAAAGGAAAAGGCTGAGATTTCTTCCCAGACATTTCTAATTCCCTGCTGGCTGAAGACAGTGGAGGCAATGCCCTAAGAATAAGTAAAACTATGAAAGGAGCTTGGGACTTTTACATTATTCAACTACCTAGTTATCCTTGAATTACTTACATAGGGTCATTAAGTGAAAAGTAAATTTCCATCTCATTTCAGTCCCATTAAAATGTTACTTTGGTTTTTTGTTACAGCATTTAACCTATACCTAGGAAATTCTGTAAAGATTAGATGACAGAGAATAGATAGATATATAGACAGATAGATACATGATAGATAAGATGATGGATAGGTAGGTAAATAGAGAATATATTGACAGATGATATATTGATAGATATATAATAGATAAACCAATCGATCCTAGGCTTTTATAGATAATAAATGCTTTAAAATCATTAAACCAAATAAATATTTGACTACCTTCAGACATTTGCTTACTTTTTACCATTGTCAGAGTACCACCATATATTTATTCAATGTTTCTTTAAGTTGGCTCTTCTTTTAGAATTTAAACTGTTTTGAAATTTTAAATTAATTTAAGATGGAAGCTTGATATCTTTCCCTTTAAAGCAAAACTATTAATCTTGCAACATAACCAGAAAATACCTATGCATTAGTTTCCAGTAGTGCATAATAAAGCTGCCCAAATACTTAGTGGTTTAAGATGAAAACAATGATTTGTCGTTTCCCACAGTTTCTGTGTGTTGATGCAATTTAATCCCATAATCTTCTCTACTCACTGTTTTCATTCTTCTTATTATTTATCCCTACCCCAATTTCTTTTGTGCATTTCCTTTCACTCTCAAACTCAAGCTTACAGTTGTAAAAAAACACAGAGACAAAACACAAATCAAAAATCAGAAATTTTAAAGAATTATAATGTATTAGAACCTGAAGCCATGTTAGATAAAGTTTTATTTCAGCATTCCTCAAAAGGTATGACATGCATAATTTGAACCAATCCCAGAATTTAGTAAGTCTCCAATTTAGTGAATTGCCAACTTTCACAGATACCAACAACTTGACATTACAAACATTCCTAGATATGAACAAATCATGAAAAAGGCTCATGTGTCTGCAGACATTGTCACAGTTGTGATGTAGTGTGTTACTGTGCAGTGCAGTAGTGTATAATTTTTAGTACAGTTGGAGACCTACTGTATTTTTGTGGAGGGATTTTATGCTTTACATTGCATATCTGTGTCAAAGATGTATAAGACTCACTTTGTCAAACATATGAGTGAATCCTTCTTAGAACCATTCTCCCAGAATGGGACTCATTTATAAACTGGGGGCTTACTGTACAGATTATCAGTTATGAAGCACTGTGTTGCAAGATTCCTTGGGAAAAAGATGCATGTATAGGTTTGAATATTGCCAGTGGTTATAAGAAAAACATTTAGCAACAAACAGTCGCTGACTGGAGTACAATAGGGCCTAGAGGCCAGCTGGTTGCTGAATTGTGTGGACACTGGTGAAATTTAGTCCTGGAGAAGTGGTCAAATTACTAATTTACTAAGTTCTGTCAAAGGATACCTCTAACAACTCGAAGGCATATCTGGTGTGCATCTACTGTGTTCTAGCCCTAGACATGGTCTTCCAGAAATTCTTTTCTTAACTGGGCAAGGACATCAGCAGAGTTTGATGTAGAATTTGTAGGTGAGGAGTGGTAGTGTCATAGGACTGATGGAAGAGCTGATTATCACTGTTCAGAAATTATGTTAGCTACTTATGCCCATTAAATTATATAAACTTAAGGTAGAACACATTGTGTTTATGAAAGAAGACAAATAATCAAAGCTTCTCACTTCCCAATTGTCTTACCATTATCTACACCCTTGAAGTTACCTTTGTCTATTTGTATCTCTGTGTTAGAAATGCTGTATGATGATGTGGAGCAGCACATCTCTGCGAAACTCCATGGTATTTATTATTTATTTATTGTACCAGGAATCAAACTCAGGACCTCACACCTGCCAGACAAGTGCTGTGCTGCTGAGCTATATCCCTGGCCCTGCACTCCATTTTAATGATAGCACATTGGATGTTTGATAGAAATTGATCATGGTGATTGCATCTGCACCAGAAAAAACAGCAAACTCTAAAAATTGGTTCTTTTTTACACAACAACCAACTGTTAAACCTTTACCAGCACACTCCTGAGAGTTCATTTCCAAAACTGGAGACCTGTGTTTGGGGTTGATGTCATGACCCGGTGATACCGGGAGCATGGGAGAAGTTCTTGAGGTGCTTGCTGATATCAGGAGGAGTCCTGCATAGGAGGAGTTCTGCACACCCCTACTCGTCTTCACCTTCTTGTAGGTGGAGCTGATAGAGAGAAGGCTGAGCTGGGACTCTGGGTGTAGTATTCATGTGCTGGGTGATGGCATGTGGCTTTAGAGACTAGCACACACAAAGATGAGAAGAAAGTTACCCTTCCTCTTTGAGCTTTTCTTCATCTGTACTCTGGTGATGACAGCAATGCAACTTGGATTTTTATATTTTATTGTATGTTACTGATTGATGCATAATAATTATA